TTGCTGCGAACTTTGTTTCAACGTGGCGATGGCTGTGCTTCTGGTAGGTATTGCCTTTCAGAGAAAATTGTATGCATTCAGTTGTTCAGCACCAGATAAAATCAGCTGTCTCGAAACAGAAACATCTCCCGGGGAACGTTTCCTACGCTACAGTCACACAAGGGATGCAGCCACGCCCTCTACTTCTCTGTGATATGGAGTGCAACTTGAGTGGCGAAAATGGTGATGCCCCAATAATTACAGGCAAAACATGCCTCCAACCCAAGTAGCGAATCCAACTCAACGATGCCTATCTGATTTGTTTTTAAAAACTTTCCACGATCAGTTCTCAGTTTTTCGCATTTCCCAAAGCAATTTCGATTTGGTAAACACAAATTAGACAACCTGTAATAAAGTAGTAGAGCTTTGTTCTACCTCGATTTGTTCTCATAACTGTGTAGAGTAAGCCAATTTATTTACAATTCCCATACTTTATGTACAAACAATTCGTAAAATAAAGCTTTTCGAAAATAGTACAAGGGCACATCTTATCACAGTAGGTACAGCCTTGTTCGCATTGCTGGGGTGTGCTGGGTTTGGCGCGGCGCCAGCCAGTTCTCCATCACTTGTTAAAGCGCCATAAGCGACACGATTTGATGGAAAACGAGTCGGTACCGCCACCCAGCCTCCTGCAACGCCCCTGCATCCCAGCGAACAAGACGTTATCACAGCCACTGATCCCTGCTACTAATTAAAATAGTTGAACACTTTTCAAAATATAGAAGGGTATTCGGAGAATGCTGCCGTATTCTTCTTCGAAAAGTAATCGTTCACTCCTACGAAGCTGTCCTGATAGAACTTCAGCGACGATTTCGATACCTCCGGCGGGCAGGTCTGTGAAAGTCGCTTTTAAGAGGCGGAAAGTACTGAACACTACCAGAAAAGGCAACGGAAGTCGTGACACTTGAGGAGAGGCAATCCGCAGTGAGGGCAAGCTGCGACCGTTCTCTCCTCGCCTGCGCCCTCTCCACGAGAAAGAGCAAGGTAAATGGCGATGAACGCGGAGGTGCAAAGGTTCACCGGATGGGCGCGCTCTCATCCACTGCCCCTCCACCACTACCTTAGCAACAAACAGTAACTCCTCCTACCTTGAAGATATCATCAACAGTGAACAAAGCCGGACGACGATCAGCTGCCGGTTGGGCGGTTGGTATAGTCAAATCAGTCAACAGAGTCGGCTTATATTTGACCCAATCCTGATACGAGAAGCAGAAAAATTGAGCCACTAATAGGAAAGAACGATAAATTTTTACCTCTGCGTCAAATTTATAGCAACCAGAGTTCACGTAGTTCTCATACAAGGTCCTCATTTCGGGTGATGGACCCACGCGCCCTAATCCGTATATTTCTTTCGCAAATTGTAGTCCAGTGGCCAAGAGAGGACGTTCTGCAAAGGTAAAGGTAGAAGCTGAGTTTTGCTACACTTGAAGGCATTTGCTGCGTTCATACTTTGCGGCAGCGTCCACCAGCGACCACCAGCGTTTCGAGCGTACGCCAGCGCCAGCGACTAGGAAAGTATAGATATCGATCTAGCGAACGCCAGCGTCCACCAGCGTCCAGAGTGGAGAGTATGGGGAAGTAGGAGGATAGTAGACAGCTTTTTAGGCACCGTGAAATTGCGGCGTGTGAGACGCGTCGTATCGTTCAGCCTGCATTGCCCCGTACATCACGGCTCAATAATTCTGTGCTTCAGCAGTTGTACGGTGCGGTTGCACACGCCACAATTTCACGACGCCTAATCCAGCAGTCTGCTACCCTCCTACTTCCCCATACTCTCCACTTCTGGTGGACGCTAGCATCGGTGGCACGCTAGATCGACATCTATACTTTCCTAGTCGCTGGTGCTGGCTTATGCTCGAAGCGCTGGTGGTCGCTAGTGGACGCTGGTGGTCGCTGGCGCAAATTAGAACGCAGCCTTCAAGGTGAGGATTCCCCACACAATAAGACGAACCTTGAAACTGGGGTGCAAGGACGGCACTACTCTTGCTCTGCCGGAGTTGTTTTTCGTCAGGGCTGTTCCCGTTTACCAATCGAATCCAAGCCGGTTCCGATTCCACAACTTCATCTGCTGTCTGCTCTTCTTCTATAGTGTCATCATCTTCGTCGTCAGATTCACCACGGCCACCTTTCTTCGTTTTCTCCTTGGAATCCTAGATGCATGCATTATAGAAGAGCCGCGAAAAAGGTGACGATTGGAGGGGGCAATTTTCCTAATCGAGTGCATATATAATTCACCGGGACCAGCACCATTTTCGCAATTTAGCTGTGACAGCTTCATGAACTGTCCACTGGAAGCCCCTTCTTGATTGATTCCATGGAGACTGAGGGCACGAGCATCAGAGATGATCTGGAGTAAGTGATTAGCTAGGACAGCTCAGTGAACCGATAGATATCCAGTCACTGCCCCTGAAAACGGTAGGGCGCGTGACGGGGAGCAGATTGAAGCGCCGCCAAGGCGGTCGTTCCCACCAATGATGCCATTCTGATTCTGCAACCGATGGAGGGAAAAGGCTGCCCCGGCTGCGCTACTTTCAACGCTTCTTCGCAAGCCTTCTCAATTGCAGGGACAACTGTAAATCGACTGTACATCTACGAAATTTGAACAGAACGCTTCTGTGGAAAAGCCACTTAAGTGAGAAAAATAATTCATAGTGGCACTATTACTGATCACATGCACATAAAATTGGTCAAATAAGGAACGCCGGGATCATGAAAGCTGGATGCTAATTACTCATCGCAAATGGTGTAGGTCGGAAAGTCTACGCTATGGAAACGCGCAAACGTGCAGCCGGTGCTACCCAAGTAGTGAGTGCGACACAGTACGGCACATCTCGAACCACTCGGGCCCTTTCAAGTCGAGACGCCGCGACCGTAAGTTCAGTGGTAACGACACTTTCACACAAATGGAAGATCCAAAAACGCTGGAGAAACATATACGAGCCAGACATACACAACTACAATACATCAAAACAGATACCACCTGATACATATGAGCTTTCGATAAGTGTCAAGAAACCTTTAGGTCAACCTCTGTGGCTTATCCCACAGTTATTACAGTAACCCCTCTTAGAACTATGTTTTGATCCCTCGTCGAGAATTCCGTCACTATGAAATGCTTTATGATGAGAATATTATAGGCCCAGGATTTCACATTCGTGCTGCGCCTTCGTGTTATGTGCCCTGACCGTTGATCATTAGCGTAACAATTGGAATTATCAAAACAACTTGAAATAATCATGTAAATTATCCAGTGAGTCACAAACC